AGTAGGGCTGGATTTGGCACAGAGGCCATAGTTTGCCAAGCATGATCTAGGTGAATGACTGCCACATTTTTTTAATTATGACAAACAAATAAGAAACACATTTCAGAAAGGGAGGGAGGCAAGAGGTGTGTGTGAAACAAAAGGATTATGAAACAATACTTAGCTGTACAACATATGACACACTATTATTTTCTCTCTTTTTTTTTTTTTATTTCAGCATATTATGGGGGTACAGATGTTTAGGTTACGTATGTTGCCCTTGCCCCTCCCGCCAAGTCCAAGTTTCAAATATGTCCATCCTTCGGGTGGTGCGCATTGCACTCTTTGTGTATGCAAATACCCGTCCCCTCCTCCCCCCTCCCCCCTGCCCAACATCCAATAGATGTTATTCTTATATGTGCACTTATGTGTTGATCAGTTAATACCAATTTGATGGTGAGTACATGTGGTGCTTGTCTTTCCATTCTTGGGATACCTCACTTAGTAGAATGCGTTCCAGCTCTATCCAGGAGTATTTTCTCTCTTAATATTGGTTACTAATGGGTATCCACTCAAATTTGAAAAACACTGATATATTCTCCGCTTTTAGTTGAGAAGATTGGTACCTAGAGAAATAAGGTTTGCCCAAACACACACAGAGTTAGTGGGAGAGCCAAGTCTAGGACTTGCTTTTCAGAGAGCATCCTGCCAAGATGTCTCGCCACATCATAAGCCTCCCTACCCTCAACAAGTCTAATCCAATTGTCCAAGTATTTCTGCTACATGCATTTGTCCTTCCAGTCTCAAATTAATGTTACTTGAAGGAACAAATAATTCTGAATAGTTTTCTACCAAGTATTCAAAAATAATGGGTAAAAAAAGCAAAAAGAGAGAGAAGATGCTTTGAGGTATCCACCTTTAAGCCTTGGGACTACCTTGCTCACAACTTCCACATAAACACTTGACAAATACAGTTGGCTCTTGAACAACATAGGTTTGAACTTTGCAGGTTCACTTATACATGGATTTTCTTCCACCTCTGCCAGCCCTGAGACAGCAAGACCAATCTCTCCTCTTCCTCCTCTTCCTCAGCCTACTCAACGTAAGCACAATGAGGATAAAGACCTTTACGATGATCCACTTCCACTTAATGAAGAGTAAATATATTTTCTCTTCCTTATGATTTTTTAAATAACATTTTCTTTTCTCTAGCTTTATTGTAAGAATACAGTATGTAACACATATATGAAATAAGTGTTACTCAATTGTTTATGGTATCGGTACATCTTCCAGTCAACAGCAAGCTATCAGTAGTTAAATTTGGGGAGAATCAAAATTTTCGACTGCACAAAGATCAGTGCCCCTAACCCTTGCACTGTTGAAGGGTCAACTGTACCTGCAAAAAGTATATAAAATTAGGAGAGAAAAGGCAGTAACTTTCAAATATCAAAGTGCTGTTATCTACTATAAATTTGTAAACATTTTAAAAATATTTTGTTTTTTGCTGTAGTTTTAGCTAAAACAATTATATTGGGGGGCAGGTCCTATACATCTAAGTAATAAAGAGAATCATATTATTTCACTCGAAAATGAAACTTCATCCTCATCAATGCAATCGTTCTCAGGGCTGCAACTCCATAGTGAAATACAGTTGTATTCCTGCCTCATATCAAAACTTATATCTGATACCCATGGAAATTCTGACAAATATGATATGAAAATAGAATTATGATAGATATGATAAAAGGTGTTCTGTACAACATAGGGTATACAAATCAAACTTGTAACAGTTACCATCACACAAAATATATGATGATGAGACATTAGCAGATAACGATTTTAGATTGCTTCAGAATTTATGACTTATTTCTGTAGCAATAAATTAGAAGCCATCTTCATTAAGGTCATGAAAACCAATGGGAAAAAAGAAATACATCTCTGAAACTTCTGGAGCGACATGGATCACTCAATCCTCAAAAGTGATTTGGAGTCCAGCCCTGTTTTTCTCACTGGAATTTTCCAAAAGCAAACACAGGTAATAGAGTTTTAAATTCTGGGTTTTCTGTGTCTATTTCCTTAAGCTCCATCTCCTCCACGCTTTAATCTGCATACCAACACATCAACCTTTAAAACACATGCACCAATTCTCATTTACCTTTTGATCTTTCATCATGCTATTTACCTCAGGGTATCAAAAATATATCTTAAAGCTTTGTTTTGAATAACAGACAGACTCAGTGGTACATTACACTATGTACACAGGCAGTAAAAAAAAATCAGTTACATCAGGAAAAAGTCCTATAGGTGGCCTAATATAAGGAATAAGTTGGATTCTAATTTGCAGATTAGACGCAGGACAATTCCAAGGTCAGAGTTTCAGAAACAAGCTGAGAGAACTCAACATAAACACCAAAAGATAGGAGAAGGTTGGAGAAGAGCCACAGTAATTCCCTGTCTGTATAAATTCCTCCACCATCGGACAGGCTCAGTCCTGTGTAGAGAGGAAGTGGAGGCTGGGACCATGGATGGATCAATATTCTCTGAAAACCAAGCAATCCAGGCAAAGACAAAGCCCAACATCAGAAACAGCTGCTCAAAGAGAACAGAGGTCACCAGGGCTGAGGGTGGTAGCTCCTCACTTGCAGTAAAGACATTTTAAGGATTCACAGAGGTATGGCAGCTAGTCATAGCCATCATACGTTTACCTTCAGTAAAGCTATACTTAATCATTAAGTTTCTTTATATACTGATGTCTACAGAGGTATCAACTGCACAGGATTAGCCTTGGTTATCAAATGTTGCTCAGAGACTGTTTGGCAAAAATAGATGTCCTTTATTAACATAAATGGGTAAAATACTTAAATAAGAGTCTTGACTGATGAAAACTTTCATAGCATGAAGTCTGTGAGGGGAAATAAGAGAGTTCCTTGGTGGTCAGAATTAAGGCTAAAATCAGAGGCTTACACGATAGTTATGCCTCTATTCTCCAGTCCTTCCTTCTAACCTTACCTTGGGTATTACAGGCTAGTCAGAAGAGAAAATACTTTCAGTTTAAGGCAACGTAATTTTAAAAAACTTGCTTTCAGGCCTCAAAAAGCACTTAAAATTCAGGAATTGCCTTCTATAGTCAAGATGACATGTTTGAAGAGGTAAAGAGCCTAAGAGATGATGCTGAAAAGAAGAAATATCGAGTTGCTGCCTGATTCTCTCTCACTCCGAGTGTGTCAGTTCAGGTCCTTCAAAAAGCAGATGCCAAGACACAATGAGGCGTGCTCCTGTGGGCCTCTCCTAAGGGGAAACTTGGAAGAAAAACGAGTGGCACAGAGTTTATCCCCATCACTGCAATTGTTCTCACGGCCGCAACTCCTCATCTCCATCCTCCAGTAATCTATCAGCTATCGCCTCAGCTATCGCCTCTGCAGGTCTTAATAACTTACCTGATTAAGTGACCCAAACTTTCATTGCTGAGGAGTCGGAGCCCCTGGGAATCATATCATTCTCATTCCAGGGTGGCTGTGATGTGTCCATTCACAGTTAAAATTAAGCAAAGGAATAGCAAGAAGCAAATAAATGGGTTGCCTGAGTTCCAAGCTGCTGCCATTATGCAAAAGCAACCCTACCTCCTTCAGCTGATGTGGGTCAATCACTTGTGTTAAGTTAGTAAGGCCTCTCCACACTTGCTGGTCCCAGAGTCAAGGAGTTTAAAGTACACAGTTGGCAACCACAGTCTGTAGTTATATTGTACCCTTGCTGTGTCCCCTGTGGTAAGACTGCACCCACTTTGAGGACCAGGACTTCTAAAACTGTAGAGCCCAGAGGTGTAAAGATAGAAAACGCAAAGTCCCCCAGTGGGATACTGGAAGCTACAGTATAGGGCCACTTCTGTTCCTACCTGCTGGTTCCCAGACCCAAGTATTCTTTCTACTGGGGATACAGAACTATGCAAAAGTTTCCAAGTTAGCGTACATACTTCATCCTGAAAGATCACAACCCATCCATGCAGAGCATTTCCTCTGAGTTAGAGCTTCTCCTGGGCCTTAGAAGGCCATTTCAAACTCCATCAGGACAGCTGCCTCTGGATGGTGCTGTCTCTGATACAGTAGATGACCTGGCACAGAGCCACTCCCATGTATCAGTCCCAAGAAAGTCCCCTGTTCTAATGCTATGTTGTGTGGGACTCCACATCTGTGGATCAAGAAACCAATGGGTAGCACTAAACATACACTAAGTTACCAAGTAAAAATGAAGAATTATCTAAGATCCCACAGAAAAAATAAATAAAACACATTGTTGTCTTAAAGGAGCTTAGTGTAAGGAGAATCAAATACCCACAGCAAGGTCTTCTTTGTCCATTACATACTATACTCATACTCATAACAAGGGTATACAAATTTTTTTTTAGATACTGATAAGCCATCATCACAAAACCTTAACCACAATCACCAAAACTAGTCCAGATACACCAAAAAAGATATTTTCATGAGCCAAATATTCACTAGTTGGCAATATATTAGTCATAATATCTAATCTTGGCAATATTTAATAACCTTAGTTACTACTTTTATGAATCCCAAATTTTTACATTGTATATTTCCAATTAAAATATCACATTTTAAAACAAAAGACTGCCCATATTCCTTTATTTATAGCCTATTTTTAAATCATATACCCAAATCAAGTTCAAATGAAAAATTACCAAATTAATATTGCTAAGATAATTTTTATTCAAAGATGATTAAATAATCTGCTTTCATATTTTGAGATTCAGTCTATACAGAAAATTTCCAAATTATCAGGCCTACTATTCTGGCTTCATTTGAATAAGTAATGAGCTTGAGAAAATAAAGTAAACCCATGAGGACAATTTCAAACAATGCACAATTTCCAAAGCAGAATACAAAAATACAGAAACTTTAATTCAGAATAATTTTCTTCCTAAATTCCCTAAGTAATTTTTTTTAAGTATGTTTCATATCTTGACAATAGTCTTATTTAGAAGGAGGAAGAAATCTGTAACTTACCTTTGTACACCATAGGGCCTTTCTAAAATAGGCTCTTTGAATGGAGGTGGAATGTGACCAAAATAATCAGGATAAGCCACCTCTGAATATTCTGGGACAGACTTTGTATTTTTCACAACCTCAATATAGAGGTCTGGGTCATGGAGTGTTGGTCCATCAGGTACTTCAACTGATGCTTGTTCCACTGATGAATTAGATTCAGAATCTTCGTCATCTTCAGTTTCCACTCCAGTGCAGCAAAGCTTCCCTAGCTGAACTGTTCTTCCCTCAAACAGAACATTTCCACAAGTAGCCAAGTGAGGACAAGCTTTGGTGCACGTAAAGACAGTAAGAGGGAGACCGTGGTCCTTCTTCATTCCTGTAGCAAAGCCTGGGGTGGTCTGAGAAGGAATATTCTGCAATGTAATTCGGTCTAAGGCCTTCACAATATCATTGTTTAGGCCATGGGCTGATGAAGTAGTTCTATTTTGATCACCCAGCTGCTGTTGTAATGTTCTGTCATTATCTTTAATATCTTCTTTTGCTGGATCCACAAGGGTAGCTTTCTTATCACCTTTCGGAGATCCATTCTCCTTCATTGCAAGTCCTTTTCTTAAATTGCCTGAATTCCCAGATGCTTCCTCTCCTGCCGTAGGAACAATAATAGGACCATGTACTTTTCCCTCGAATACAAAAGGTTTTGGTTCTTTGGAGATTAAATCATAGTCCTTTGAAAATAAAAGATATGTTTAACCTTTTTATCTAGAAATGTTAACACATATTAACAAAACTAAGATCGTATGTATTTTATATGCTGCTTCAGAAACCTAACATTTGAAAATATTAAAGATGGATAAAAATAGTTATGTTTTAATTTCACTAAGACAAAATATTTAACCACTATAAAATTCATAACATTTACTTTACCTTTCCTATTATAAAAATAATGTCTATATATCACAGAAATATGAGAAATTTTAGAAAACTAGAAAGACATTAAAATAATCCAAAATGCTATTAGGGACTACAACTAAAATGTTACTCATTAATTCAACAATATTATAGAGTATCCGTTTTGTGCAATATTTACCAAGTATGTATTTTGTGCCAAACCCTGTTTCAGGCCTTAACACAGGTCTTAGCTTAAGATTTATCGGTTTAAAAAAAAAAAACACAACTCTCCCCTTTTGCAGTTTACATTCTTATAGTAGATGTAAGGGAAAGTACTGTCAATACAAGTAATAAACATGATATAAATATATTCTACAGAACATAAGAAGGATAAAGTGCTATAGCAAAAGGGGGGGTGCATAATGTCAACTGGGAGTGCCAGGGGAGGAGAGGTGGGTGGCAATTCTAAATGCCATTAGCTAGAGAGCCTCACTGAGCTGGTAAAAGCAAAGACTTTAAGAAGGCGAGGGGAGCATGAGGGGAGCATTCCAGGCAGAGAGGACTGCCGGCGCATAGGCCCAGCGTGGGAGAATGCTTGGGGTATTCAAAGAACAGCAAGGTTAGGATGGTTGGAACAGAATAAGCAAGACGAACTGCAAGAGGCAAAAGAGGGCCAGGTATGGGAGGACCTGATAAGCTATAAGATTTTTTTTTTTTTTTTTTACTTTGAATGAGATTGAGAGCCATGGGAGGGAGGAGTGTCATGACATGATTTATGTTTGAAAAATAATATGCTACACCAGAGTTTCTTAACAATAGCAGAAATTTTGGGACATATCATTATTTGTTGTTTGGCTTTGTATTTTGGGTGCAGACGAGCACTGTTTTACGCACTGCAGGATATTTAGCAGCACCACTAGCCTCTACCCACTAGAAGACAGTGGCACACCACCCCACCCCGCTATTTGTGAAAACCAAGAATATCTCCAGACATTGTCAAATGTCTGCTGGGAGGCAAAATCAACCCAGTTGAGAACTATTACTATGATTCTCTTCTGGAACAGAATCAGGAAGGGAGAGTAGAAGCAGAGAGACAATTAAGAGTCTGTTGCAGTAATCCAGGAAACTTGATAAGAAGTAGTTGGATTCTGAACATATTGTAGAACCAAAATGATAACCTAATAAACCAGATAAAGGGTAGAATGTGCAGAAAGAGGTCACAGATGACACCAAAGTGTTTGCCTGAACAAATGGAAAAGCACCAGCATCAGTTTAGCTCTGAACATGTTATGTGTGAGCTATCCACATACAAATAGAGATGTACAGTAGGACAGCTGGTTGTGAGTCCAGAATTCAGAAGAAAACTCTATGCAGAATATATAAATTTGGGAGTCATTAGCATACAGATATTATTCCAAGCCAGTAGACTGCAAATCATCAATGGAAAGAAACAGAGAAGATCAAAAACTGAGCCTTGGGGTACCGTAATCTTAAGAGGCTGGGGAGATAAAAATGAAACATAAAAGGAGATGAAGAAGGACGTCAGTCTAAAAAGATGAAAACCAGGAAAGAAAAGTGTCCTGAAAGCCAAGTTCAAAAAAAGGATGTTGCTTATAGGTAAAGTAGACTTCTCTTTTTATACTTTTAGAAGTATTTTTATGTCAATATAAGATTCTATAAAGGAAATATGCCACAATTGATTTAACCATTCTCCTACTCTGGGCATTAAATCCTTTACAGAATAAGGAATGACTTAAACAAACAGATAAATAAAGTGTATATTTGAGCTATTTCCAAAATTTTGCTTTTATAAAGAACTCTGCAATGAAAATCTTGTTGCAAAATGTTTTTGCTTTGTTTAGGATGATTTCCTAAGTACTGAAATGGAATTACAGGATCAGATATTATAATCAATTTTAATGCTTAATACAAACTGCCCAAATATTCTCCAAAAATATTTGTATTACTGTATGTACCCAGTAACTGTATGTGAGAATATCTTCCTTGACAACATTATGTACTACAGTTTTTAAAAATGTTTTCTGAAGTGGCAAATAAGAAATATCACCTTACTACTACTTTAATTTGCATTTCTTTAACTACTAAAAAGCAAACAATTTTCTACATGTTTGTTAATCAGCTGCAATTCTCCATAGGTAACTTGTTTGTTTTTAGAATACAGGGCTTTTCCTTGTTTTTTGGCATAAATTTTCACATAAAATAGATGTACACAGACACATACACTAATCCTCTAGCTAACCCATTTTTGCAAATATTTTTCTGGATTTGTAATTTTTCTTTTAATTTAGATTAACTTCCTTACACATATTACATAGTCAAAATTAAGAATCTTTGCCTTTGTAACTCATTCCTTGAATGTCCACTGTACAAAAACCAAAGATTCAAAGATGATTCACACCAGCGTTTCATGGGATCACAGGCTGGTGGCTTACACAGGCAGGCTGGACCCGGTGCCTCCTGGACACATGAATGGTGCAGGAAGATGCAGGGGAGAGGTCTCGGTCCCAAACTCAGGTGGTGAGGAAACCCTCCCAGATATATCCAATGGGAGAGTGTGAAGGGGTGCTGAGGAACAGGGATCTGTGAGTGTGCCCATCCCCTACCTGGGTTGGAGAACCACCATATTGGATAGGGGTGTGCACTCAAAGTGAATTAGCCTAGCCCCTGGTTCCCATGACAACCAAATGCCTCAGGTGTGCCAGCTGAATGGGAGCAGCAGCCCCTCCCCCCACTAATTACAAAAGGGAGTATAGCTTGAGCCAAGAAACTGGGGAGTGGCCACTTCTCCCATCCCCCTAATAGAAGCACCTGTGAATAGAGAGGCTTACCTCACTACCCTTGGGGTCCTGTAGTGGAACAGGAGTGCACAACTGGGGAGCCCCCTACCCACCAGAGGATGGCACAGATACACACTAGTGGGTCAGACACATGGACTGAGGGATAGTTCAAGAGCCGGTCTCAAGAGGTGAAGGAATTCATGCGGTCTGATCTGATGGGAGAATGCTGTGGAGTTCCAGGGCACAAACATGGAGGACGCTCACCCCATCCCACAAAGAAACTATGCTAGTTGACAAGAGTGCAAAGAGCCCAGCCACGGGTCATAGCACTCAAGTGATTAGGCCTGAGCCTTGGGAGCAGCCTTCGGGGCTTGGAGAGATTACCCTAAACTTCATACCACCAGATCCCCCTAGTGGCTGGATAAGCAACTTCTGAATCTCGCTGAGGCTTTGCAAAGCCTCTCAGGCTCTCAAAATCCAGCCACAGTGGAGTAGAGATCAAGCAACCCCGGGGAGCTACAGGGTCCCTCCTAAAGCTAGGGGCATTTGTGTGTCCCACCTGGGGAACCAGAGCTTACCAAGGGTACAAAAACACATCTGGGAAGCTGGCTTTTCCAAGCAAACTTCAGTCAATGATGGGGAACAAACACAGCTAAGCATAGCACCCTTCAAATCAAACAAACAAGGAGCAGCTGATTCATACTCACAAGTCCAACCTACCATCTTTGAGATTAAGCTAGGAGGCCTAACTCACTACACACTGTTGGGAAAAGGTGAAGACAGCAGGTCAGAGGTAACCGAAGAGGTTCATCAAACCCACTAGAACACCCCATAGAAAACTCAGGACCAGCACTCCTTTCCCTGGCACGCTCAGGGACTGATCTTCAGGGACTAGGAGACAGGCCTGTAAGCCAGGGTTAGCACCCCCAGGTCTCAATTGAGAGGCCAGATGAAAAGGAATCAGAAAAAGAACTCCAGAAACATTAAAAATCAGAGGAAAGGGACATCCCCAAAAGAAAACAATAACTCCTTACCAACGGATACCAGCCAAAATGAAAAGACTGAAATGACAAATGAAGAATTTTGAATACAGATTGTAAGGAAACTCAATGAAATACAAGATAAAATAGAAACCCAACACAAAGAAACCACAAGAACAATGCAGAAAATAAGTGAAAAATTCACTAAGTGAATATTTAAAAAAGCACACAGAACTTGTAGAAATGAAAAATTCATTCAAGGAAATACAAAACAGTGGAAGGCCTTAAGAATAGGCTATATCAGCCAGAAGAAAGAATCTCAAAGCTTAAAGACACTACTTTTGAGTTAAACAAGTCAGTCAAAGAGAAAGAACAGAGAAATAAGAAGAATGAACAAGGCCTATAAGAAATATGGGATTATGTAAAGAGGCCTAACATAAGAATCATAGGCATCCCTGAGGGCAAAGAAGAAAATACACAAGGGGTGGAAAACCTATCTGAGGGAATAATGAGGAAAATTTCCCAGGCCTTGCCAAAAATCTAGATACCCAGGTACAAGAAGCTCAAAGGACTCTGGGAGATTCACCACAAAGAGGTAAACACGATGACACATACTCATCAAACTGGCCAAAATAAATACGAAAGAGGAGCTCCTACAAGCTGTAAGGCGAAATCAAAGGTAACTTACAAAGGAAAATTCATCAAACTAACTGCAGACTGCTCAACTGAGACCTTTCAAGACAGAAAGGATTGGGACCCCATTCTCAGTCTTCTCAAACAGAATAATGGCCAGCCGAGAATTCTGTATCCTACAAAATTAAGTTTCTTATATGAAGGAGCAATAAAGACTTTTCAGACAAGCAAACACTGACAGAATTTCTTAAAACCAGACATGTCCTGAAGGAAGTACTCAGAACTGCATTATACACAGATCAGCACAATATACACCCACCAGTGTAAAATCGTCCAAAAACTAAAGGTCAGAACCCAGATACCACAATGGATCAAAAGGTAAAATAAACCAATAAAGTCCTACTCAACAGGATGAACAGAAATCCA